GACGAGCGCCACCTACTGGCTGCGAAATAGCCGGTATTTGACAATCAGCTGCAGGGGCATCAGCTGGTGGTCGAGCTGTCATCTGTCTTTCCTTTTCCTTGCGTCTATGAGCTGCGCGCGTAATTCTTTGTTCCTTCCCATTAGCTTTTGGACTTTCCTCTAGATCTTGAACAGAGGCAGAGGAAAAATCCACAATCATCTGCTCAACCACATTGGTCCTCTGAGGTGTAGGTGGGCGTTCTGATTGTAAAACAGACGCCATAAAATCTTTAGCCTTATTAATCGAGTTAAGCCTGTAGCGTTTGCCAGATATTGTTACAATTATGCCCACCAGTATGTCCCATCTGAAATTTATTTGTCTGATCTTCAACTCCTGTGTCAGAAAGGCATAATCTCTGCGCGCTCTAAGTATTTTTGCTGGAATTTCTTTTAAAAGAATAATGTCTTGATTCAAAATTTTGAATCTCTGTTGGTAAAAGAGCTGCATTATTTCATTACGTCTGGACTTTCTTGTAAAATATATCACAATATCTCTAGGGAAATTCTTTTGTCTTGCAAACCAGGAATTTACCCTGAACACACGCTCTATTTCAAGATAAATTTCCTGGCCACACGATAAGGCATCCCCAAGTGCGTCTGCAATTACTTGTCTTAAGTTCTCCTTTGGGTCCTCAGCCAATCCACGAATCCGAATTGCAAACTCCATGTCACGAAATTGGGCGATCAGCACATCACTCCTAACATTTTCCAGACCCTCCTCTACAAGCTCAAGTCTATGATCACTTCCTTCTGCTTTTTGCTCGTTCTGTTCCACCCTTTCTGCTATTGCATCCACATAATCCGCCAAGCCTTTAAAAGCAGTTGCCACATTCGCACAATAATCATCCTGCTTCTGTGCTAAATCATGCTGTTGTTGTGATAAGTCCAATTGTTGCTGCGATAGTTGATCAAATCTATTTTGCATTTTAACATCCATCTCTTGAAACATCTCAGTCATTTGCTTAATAGTTGCAGCCATCAAATCCTGCAGTTCTTTGCCAGAGGGCGGTGGGGACGAAGAAGATGGAGGGTGTGACGAGTGGGAAGTTTTTGAAGTTGACTGAGGTGTCTGGGTCATCGGAGATGTATATTTTACAANTGTTAAAAAGTCTTATAGAAAATTCAGCCAAAGCAAATAATGCGCCAGTTAGAAATAACAAAAGTTCAAACCGGAAATCACTTTCACTTCTTGCTGAAAGGTATCAAATCATCGCCATTTTAAGTTCACTTTCCCTCATTCCAACTCAAATACGAGAAGAATATATTGTCCAAGTTAGAGTATAGTCCATAAATTACAAAACAGACTTCCAGGGTCGGTTCGTCTGCTTATACGGCAAACTCACAGTTATCTTTAAGTTGCAGCGGTGACGGCAGCTTCTAGCTTCGCTTATTAGCGAAGACGTCCTGGATCGCGGAGAATCCCGGGGCTCCGGAGGAGTTCTCACCTACATCGTCCACAAGGGACAACTCGGGAACTCAACTCCTACCTCGGGCAGCTCACCTATCCCCCTATGCCCAGGGGAAAGGTATCAAGCCGTTTGACAGCTGATGGAGGCTGTCAAAACGGCTTTTACGCAGAAACAGGCGGGAGCAGCAAACAGCTGCGTCCAGCGAAGGCGCCTGCCACCGGAAGTCAACTGTTTCTGTTTATTTGTCATTTCTAGGAAATATATATCTTATAACCATGAATAAGAGGAAAAAACTGTGGCTAGTTTTACAATAGTAGCTGCACAACTCTTGATCAGCAATAGCATAATTGTGGCTTCCGGTGGTGACAGGCTGCACCGCATGGCGGCTTTTGTTAGCCGCCCGTCTGGGAGCGCGTCAAAGCCTGAAGAGACAGCGTTCGTCAGCTGTCTCTCGGCTCGGAACCTTGTCCCTCGGGCAAAGAGGGAGGGGTGAGTAAGTCCAGATAGGGCTAGAGCTTCCTCTCACCCCGGTTCTGTTTTAATCGGGGATGAGAGATGTTAGCTCGCCTGGAGTCTGGACGTTCTCCGCGCCCCATGATGCCTTCGCTCCTACTCATTTGGAGCGAAGCCAGATGCAGCTCCCACCTCTGCTACTGAAGGATATTTGGATTTAAACTGTAAGCAGATGGAACTAAGCAGGAGGTTTGGAGTAGTTTTTGATTTACGTGGAACTTTGACTCTGAGAATATATCAACATCTTTTCTGGTGGGGATTTAAAGTGAGAGGAAAATGGCTGTGGAACTGCCGTTTCTTTGGAACTGATAAGAAACTTTCGCTTTTTATTTTCACTCTCTTCTGGTTACTAACTGGATAGAGATACATTGTGGTTTTATTTTTGGTTTTTGGAAAGTTTTAGTTGTAAAGAATTTGCAATGCCTATTTGTTGGTGACACTTATTATTTTTATGGATTATCGAAGTGTTTTTTAAAGAAGTTTGGAGGATGGCTTTAAAATGGCTGCGGAACTGTGAAAGAAAGAAAGAAAGAAAAATCCATACTTTTTTCTTTGCTGGCTAAATGGTTGTATTGTAAAGAATTTTTCCCTTTTTTTTTTTTTTACTGAAAATGCCTTTATCTTTAATTACAAATGACTTACAGTATGTTTTGAAGCAAGCAGCAAAGCAATTTATTGTGGAAGTTGAAGATCTCTGGGTTAAGAAACTGGAAGGATTCTGTGAAAATGTTGCATCTGTCTTTCAGAGTTTTATAGTTTCAGATTGCACAGAGCAACGAGCGGAAAAGTTATGTGAAAATGCTGAAGAAGATGTTATGGAAATAACTCATAATGATATGTTATATGGTAGAGATCTGGAAAATGATAAGCATGAAAAATTGGGAAAGGAAGCTGTAACAGATCCGGTTATGGTCCCGGTGTACCTCCCTGATGAAATTTTGAAAAAAGCTTATAGAATTAATTTATGGGTCGTGCATCAGAGAAAATCAGCTGGAGATGTTGCTGCTTGTGCTTTCAGAAGATCTTGTTATAATGGAATTATACAGGCTTATCTGCAGAAATTTCGGACACGCTATAAATTGATAATGAAAAAGGCAGAAAGACTCACTGACTTTGAAGGTTGATCAGCAATGAAAAAAAGAATGGAAGCAAGGACTGTTCATGGAAGAATTTTTTGATTTGTAGAGTGAAGAGACCCAGGAGGATAATCTTATATAAATGTTTTGAAAGTTTTTTATTTCTTTAACATTTGTGATTTGGGATTGATCTCTTGGACATATACTATTTGAATTAATAAGATTTAAAGGATTGAAGTATTTGAGCCCTTTTAATGACGTGGACCAACTCCCAGAATTCCTGAACCAGCCATGACTTAGCAGTTATTACTCAAATTATTCAAATGTAACCCTTAGTTTAAAAACTAAGCAAAATATTGAGCAAGGTTATCTAGTAGTTTTAGTGCAATGCAGATGTAAGACCCTCTGAATTCAATGAGTCTTACTTCAAGGTAAGTGTACAGAAAATTGCAGCTTAAGAAGTCTGCCTTTTTATGACTCAAGATTCAGAAAGAGCGCAGTCTGTGATAATTTGTCTTAGTTTAAGCAAGCTCTTCTTCATTTCCTGATTGAATTTAATTGAAATTATTCTGAAAAAGATTTTCATGTGATAAATAACAGAAACTTGGAGGATAGATTCTGAAATCTGTTTTTCACAATATATAAAGACCTGGAATGGAATGAAATGGAATGGAATGTTCTGGCATATTATCGATCATAATGTTCCAAATTACGTTTGAAAACGTATTTGAAATCTCTTCTTTTTAGGAAATGAATGATCCATGTGGTATATCACGATGCCTTTATCTTCTAGCTGTACTAGCTAATTTAGAAAAAAACCATGGGCAAGCGAAGGCACTGCTTGAAAAGGCCCGCTTGATAGGTGGAAATGAACAGTTTTGGCATGATAGCACTTTTGCTCTCACTGATGCAATTTTAGGAGATGACCAGGAAATAAATGATAAAATGGTAAGTAAATCAGCAGTTACAAACCTTTCCACTTGGTGGCCCAGCCTGGTGTGTGTGGGTTGTGTGTGTGTGTGTATCAGGCGAACGTGCACATGGGTACCTTCCGCTCACACAAATGGAGTTGTGTATTGAGTGGAGGGTGTTTGCACTCACACATGAAGCTCCACTTGCTTGAGTGGCAGGCTCATGAGCTCACATACAAAGCTTGAGGCCACTCAAGAGCTTGCAAGAGTGGAGCTTTGCGCATATGCGTGCACTTGTGCACTGCTTACGCAAGTGGAGCTTCATGTGCATACACTTGCCCATTTCTCCTACAGCCCGGTTTTGAACGGACCATGGACCGCTAGTTGGCAATGACCCAGGGGTCGGGGACCCCTGAAGTAATTCATTTATTTAGTTGAAATATTCAGTAGTACATTACTCTTTTAATACTAGCGATCAATACAGGCAGCCCTCTTTTAGTAACCGCAATTGTAGCGAAGTGGTCACTAAGTGAAAATTATGTGACCACAACTGTGTTTACAGTTTTACTCCAGCTTTCCTTTGCTGTACAGAATCCGAAGAATATACAATTTATCCTGAAATACTTTGTTAGTATTTTTGACAACCTGTTTTCTCATAGATGCAGGCTTGCCATTTTCTGCAAAAAAACATAAATGTCTTGAGGCCATTATTGAAGGAAAGACCCAACCGAGAATCTGAATTGGGTTTTATAATTGCATGCTTTGAAGCCAGGTAATTATTACAAGTTAAGGTAGTATTGTAGTTTAGCTTTACTTTTATAATCAAGTAATAATGCAATCCTCCACATGCCTCTTCAAAAATAACATTGCAGCCTCCTCAATCTATTAATCTAGTTTAATAAGATCACACATGCTTTGAAAATGGTCCAATTGTTTTTTAGGCCTTGTGTGAGCAGATGATCTCTTTGCTTTTCATTAAATCAATTCAACTTTTTTTTTCAGAATTCCACACAGACCTAGAAAAAATATTCTACCGCTTTAAGGAGATAAAGCCATGCAACTGTGAAAACAGTAGCATCTGGATTGAATAACATCTTTGTGGACCCCTCCTAAATTACAATAAGCAAGGAGGCAATGCAATCACCAGCATCTAAGTGGGGGGAAAGGTTTTAAAAAAGCTAAGATGGCAGTTGTAGTTGTGTGAGTGAAGGACTGCCGCTTTTGTACATTGAATTTTTTCCTGTGTACCATAGGAGTAATTTTTTTAAAAAAACTTCTGGTGCCTGCCTGGATTAGTTCCTATAGATTTTTTGGGCATTTGCCATTGCCATTTTCCTAGGGCTGAGAGAAAGTGATTGATCCAAAGTCACCCAGCAGGCTTTGTGGCTAAGGTGGAACTAGAACTCATGATCTCCCAGTTTCTAGCCTGATGCTTTAATCCCCACACCAAGCTGGGCGTCTGCATTGCAGATATAATATGTATAAAGGGGAAGGACTTTGTACTGCTATACCATGACACTCTTACCACTTTTGATCCCTCCTCCAAAGGATGCTGTTGATTGCAGTAACAACTTTTTTTTATTACACAAGTTGTTATATAGAGATATTATTTCTATACAGGTAGTCTTCAATTTATGACCACAATTGAGCCCAGAATTTAAGTTGCTAAGTGAGAAATTCATTAAATAAATTTTGCCCCATTTTACGACTTTTCTTGCCACATTTGTTAAACAAATCACTGCAATTGTTAAATTAGTAACATGGTTGTGAAGTGAATCGGCTTCCCCATTGATTTTACTTATTAGAAAGTCGCAGAAGATGATCACATGACCCCGTACTTTTTTCAGTGCGGTTGTAACTTTGAATGGTCACTAAATGAACTGTTATAAGTTGAAGACTACCTGTATAGAGAAATTATAAATAAAAGGACTGCCCAACATTCACTTTTTGGTCATAGATTTATTTGATATTTATTTATTCAATTTTTTACGAACAAACTGAAATTTATTCTTTGCTACTGAGTGATTTTTCTGCTTTTCTGATTTGCTCTAATAATTAACTAATTAATTAAATGTTAGTCAAGGAGCTATTTTTATAGCAATAAGAATAGTTGCTTAAATATATGTGCTACTTTGGAGGAAATCTCTGACCTTATGTTGTTCATATACTCTCCTATGCAGGAAAGCATATATACAGATAGATTTGGTTAAATATCTCATTAACACTAGTGGTTTTTCTAATGAGTTGGAAATAATATTGCTGGAATCCTATGATAAGTTAATTCACATACAGAAGATCTTCGTTTCTTATGGATATAAAGATCGTAGTGCTGATGCATTGATGGCATGTGCAAATATTCATAGGTAAGTCCTCAGATAGAATTTTTCATAAATAACTACATGCATATATACCATGACACTATTTGTTTTTTGAAATAAGCAACATTTCATAGAATGCAGAAAAGAATAGGAAAGAATCAAAGTAATTAAAAACATGAGGTACTATAAGAAAAAGAAAGGGAAACATTGCAAGCACCATTCATTTCTTCAAGCCTTTCTACCCTTGTAAGCTATTTTTGCCTGTTTATATACTTCATACATTTCCATTTGTTCTTTAAAATTCTCATTTTTCTCTTTCTGAGGATCTTATCAGTTCCATCCAATCATAATTCACTTGGTCTTCCCCTTCATTTCAAACCGTTCACTCTTTCTTCATGTATTTGTCTTGCAATTCTGTAATTCTCTTCTTGTTTTAACACACATATTTTTTTAAGTATCCCATTCTTACTGCATTGTTTTTAATACTTCTGAATACGTAAGCCTCACCTCCACACAACTAAAAGCAAAAATAAATTCTTATACACAGCCATTTTCACTTATTTTGAGAGTATTCATTCTTTCAAACAGATCATACATCTAGCAGCATTTAGGGGGTCTTAAAATTGACATTTCTTTATATATTTATTTTTTTAACATCTTTAGTAAATGACCTACCAAGATACACAAGTTAATGTACTTGGTCTAATTTTTCATCATTTATGTACAGTAACATTAAGTTACTCATTCCATTTCTCCTTGTCAAACACAACTGCTTTAGGTTTTAATAAATTAATTTTACGAAGAATGGTTCCCACACCTACAGTACAATGCAGCAAGGCAAATATAAACACAGTCTGTCTTCTAAGGAGTATGTATGTATGTATGTATATATGTGCTGGTCATCTCATTGATAAGGCAACTCTGCGCTTAAACTAGCATATGTACAAAAAGGAAAACATAAACTCAGTAGCTCTTTTTCTTTATCCTTTTTCCTCTCTTTTTTTAGCTATTTTAGTAATTTAATTTTGTTACGTTTGTATTGCTTATATGTTTTCTTTTTCCATTCTATTTTATTTAGAAAGGTACTAAATATTATTTCTGTTCAAAATTATTTTTTACAGGATACTTGGTAAACATACAGAACCTGCTGCAGACAAGCAAAGTCATTATATAGATGCATATAGATTAGCACAATGTGCAGTATCACAAATGGAAGAGTTTTTCCAACATATTAATAATATACTTCCAATTAATGAGGTATGATGTTTATGTGTGTTACAGTCAGCATCCACAACATGGAGACTATTATCAGTTAAAAGGATGTATTAAATTATTTCAGAAATACAGGACAGTGCAGATATAAACTGAAAGTATGACAGGTCTTCAGTCCCAAATCCAGTTGAAACAGTCCCCAATTCAATGTATGGCTTAAATGTTAATTTTGATTGTAAATCCAACTTTTCCATTGATAATAATTGGAAATCAACAAACAGAACTTCTTTTTTTCTGTTCAACATAACTTTATCAAAATGCTGCAGAATTGTCATGTTTTGGAGACAAAACTACAACACTTTGGCAGGTGGGCTATGGGCAACAGCCTTACCTGGGAAAACCAAGTTCACTATTTTTCAGATTAATTTATCCAGGTTTTTGCTTCTTTACTTGTATAAGCCTGCGTTATGAAATGGATGCCACAGAAGGAGCTGGATCTAAGAAAATTACAGACTTTCTAAAGAATGCCAGCACTGATTGTTGGAGAAATAAATCTTCTGCTTAATCTTCTCCACCCCCATTACCAGTATATTTGGTGGGGGGGAGGGAGAGAGAGAAAGAGAGAGCTACATGGAGAGATACAGAGATAGATATTTTATATACTGTATGCCTGTATGACAAGACATTAAGAAAAGACATAGGCCTAGAAGGTTATAGTGAGACAAAAGAGAAAATTTTTAAATGTTGTTCTTAGCTGTCACCAAATCACAGGTGATGAAGAGGTGGTATACAGTGGCAGAAACAAGAATACTTAAACATCCACCATTTTTCCAAACAAGCTCCTAATTCTGTATCTGTTCAGGTTCCATAGCACCCTCAAACCTCTTTTATTAATTCCGTTTCTGCGACAGAAGTCCAGCTAAAACATTTAAACTCTAAAAGAGTTTAGTAATTTATTAAATCCTATTCTGTAGTTAGATAGCCCTTAATGACAGAATTATAGGTTTTAGTGCTTATATAGGCTATTAATCAAACATTCTGCCTTTTCTCCCTTCCCTCCCTGGAATTTCTTTTTCTGGAAGAGTATAAAGAAAAATATATCAAGTTTACAGACATACTAAACATGTTCATGCAATCTACAATGCCAAAATATGGTTTCTGTTGTTTTGAGTTAGCATGTGTTATGAACCTAGAAGCTATTGCTTTTATTAGCACCATATTCAAGTCAATTATGCATTAAAGAAATTATAGTTAAGCAGAGCATATTATAATTAGTGATCCCAGCCCCCTTTTCTGTACATCACTGTATTTAAGGTTCGTTAACAGAATTTGTGTATCAGCTCAGATTTGATTTAGTCTACGTCAGTTTATATGACTCCTGAATCTATCCAAATCTGCCTAATTCAGTTTGGGATTGAGCTAAATCTGAAATACACCCAGGCTCTAAATTCTGAACACATACAACCACCAGTGATCTTTATCAATATTCAGTATAGGACTCCTTTAATTTTGGAATTTGCATGCCAATCTTCTTGTGAAGGTTAATTTTAACATTTTATATGTATATATTATAATATCTGTCTAAAAGCATGTGCACCTTCTTCTCCGTATTCTATTTTGCAACTGTTTTCTCTTTTTATACAGTTTTTAGTAGGCCTGGCTATATAAGGACAGCCAACTTGTCAAAAGCCAGAATAGCGAGTCAGTGGCTGAAATGAGGCATGGTGATCATGGTTTTCTTTCCTCCATACTTGGATCCTATGTTTATCTTGATATTTTTTGCAATTATGGAAACTGAGATTGTTTTTTAATGTTTCTTTTCCATTTTCAGTATAATATTTTTTTTATTTCAGACTAGAAATATAAATACACCTTTAATGAGAAGGCTTGCAAACATGAAGGTGAACTTCGTAGAGATCATTTTGGATATTTTTGTTCTTATCAACATTGAAAAAAAGAACAAAGAAGCTAGAGCAGACCAAATTGAGCAAATTATTGAGGATTTTGTAAGGTTTACACCTGATACTTCTTCAGTTGAACAGGTATGCACTTGTGCAATACGTTCATAATTAAACTCTTGTGCATACAATTTGCCACATATAGAAATCATTATTATCATGGAAGTCTCATTCAAAACATCAGCAAAACACTTTTAGGGTTGTTGTTTTTTAAGGTTCAATCCAGATACAGGTAAGTACCTCAGAAAACATAGAAATAGATCTTTCACCATAGTAGTCCCTCCACCCTTGAAAAATATACATAGGGAATTCTGATGATTAAGGAATGAGAAAAGATAAGGTAGTCCTCAACTTACAATCATTCGTTTAGTGACCAAAGTTACAACGGTACTGAAAAAAGTAACTTACGGCTATTTTTCCGACTTACGACAGTTGCAGCATCCCCATGATCACATGATCAAAATTGAGATGTTTGGCAACTGATTCATATTTATGACGGTTGCAGTGTCCTGGTGTGATGTAATCACTTCTTGTAATCACTTCTGACAAGCAAAGTCAATGGGGAAGTCAGATTCACTTAACAACCATGCTACTAACTTAATAACTGCATTCACTTAACAGCTGTGGCAAGAAAGGTTGTAAAATGGGGCAAAACTCACTTAACTGTCTCACTTAGCAACAGAAACATTGGCCTTAATTGTAGTCACAAGTCAAGGAATACCTATATAGACAAAGTTGCCATTCAGCCGGCAATATTATCTATTAGTAATTTAATGTACATACATATATAGGTATAATTTATTACATTCAATTTATTGCTGTAAATTAAATATCATCAGTTTGGAAAATTGTGGCTATCTCTTGGAAAGATCTCATGATACAATCAATTTATTTGGGGAAACCAATCCTCTGTATCACAGGATATTTTCAACTTTCAGGCAACGAACAAAACTACTCACAGACTACAAACCTGATATTTCTTAAAGAGCAGAAATGTGCCTTGGAGACTTCTGAATGATCTCACTCAGTGATTTTACGCTGATATTAATTTTAAAATCTTATGTGAAACTCATTAATATAATTGCTCCTAGAGTGTGGCAGCAATTTCTAGTCACTATCCACAATAAATAGCTCTTTGGGTACAAAACTCCCACTTCCATCCTGAGTGGCTAGAAACATACACGTTGACAATATCAAACTCTACTGAATGTACCAGAGAATTGAATTTACTTTTCCATTCTTTCTCCCAGTGTTCGTCTCCCTCAAAGTATCAAAGCAGTTTATAAAATTAGGGCTGAAACCATACGGAAGTTCACAAGTATTTGATCTAACTTAACCACTGTAAAATATCCTAGTACAAACTCCTTGCTAAAAACAAGTATATGGCAAGTGCCAAATATTAGATAGTACCTAGAGGTTTTCAGGAATGTCTCTCTTGTGTAATTTTTGTAGCAACATTTTAGGAGTCAGTTCCTAAAGCACTCATTTATTTCTATTTTTGGTAAATATTTTTGAATGCAAGCATATTTTAAATCTTTTTTTTACTGTTTTGACCTCCTTAACAGTTTGTTCATTTTATTTTATATTTTCTGGATTCTTAACAGGATTGGATCACCCTTGGGCAAACAGTTGGTCATAATGCCCATGCTCAACTTACAAGCCTACCGAGTCTTTGTAGTGGTTGTCCTGACATAAGAGCCAAGTACCTCTACCTCACTGGAAGGAGTCTACATTTCTTAGCTAATCATATAGAGCCTTTTAGTGTGGATATTCAATGGTGTGAAAATGCAATAGTAAGGCCTAGTTTACGCAATATAATTAAAGTTCTTTAAATCTCTTTTATTGGATTTTGTGGTTGCATTGTTTCCAAATAGATTTCATTGGCCATTTTTAGTGCAAGCTTATGATATGTGATATAAAATAAGACCCACAACAAAATGCTGTCATTTGCAGTGATATTTAGTAATCTCAGTTTTCTATTCTCTCCAGCAATCAGTATCCTCTGTCTTCTAAGCAGAGGAGCAAGGGTTTGATCACATGATTACAGTCACCATCTTGAATTTTTGACACCACCTGCCCCACAGGTGCCTCTAACCACACTCAGTCAAAACCAGGCAGTTTTTTAGAGATTGATTTTTCTTCTGGTTTTTTTTCCCCATACATAATTTTTGTTTTATAGCAAATCTCAAAGTTTTTTTAGAATCCACTGATACTGCTACCTTCTTTGAGTAATAAGCAAGAACATTTCACTGCTGAATATTTTTTTGTTAATTAGAGGTATAATTTGAGACAACAAAATGAGAAAAATTAACAAGTTGAATAAAATGAGGTGTCTTCAGATATTCCTCTTCCATCTGTTTAGCTTTGTGACTGATGGAAAAAAAAGGCTTTTACTTTATTGTTGACTTTTACAATTTGAATCTTAAGTTGCCAGGAGTTACTGAACAATTTGCACTATTCAGAGAAGGATTTGGAGTAATAATATTGAGATGAAACAAATTATTTCTTTTAGCAGTATTTTGATTTTTGGTGCTAAAAGATAAGGAAATGTTTTAAATCATCTTTTAAGTATATCATTTCTAAAAGATGAGTAGAAAGAAAAAGCTATCAAATATAACATTGACCACTTAGGTCAATGTAACATAGAGATAATTTATTAATTATTGTTGAGTTCATTTGCCAAGGGTACTATGGATTTGCATTCTGCTTAAACAGTCATTTAATTCAATTTCTATTGTTGAATTTATTCAGGATGTAATGTGAGCTAAAGCAAATGTAAAAAATACTCTATCATTATAGACATCTTTGCTGTTGATACAAGCAGTTCTGAGTTTGTATCAGCTGCTCTTTCTCTTTTCTAAAGCAAATGATCCATGTGTATATTTTTGGGAATAATTGGTGTGAGCTGAAGGCAAGTGTGGACTGAAATCAACACCTCTCACATTTAAATGTGCGTAGAAGGACTGTATTTGTAGCATTCTGCTACAAACTCAAGGGAGGCCTTTCGTGTGTTTCTAAACCTTGCATTGGGCTGCATGTTTTCTAAAACAAATACATTTCTGTTTGACTATGATTCTTTTTTATAATTATGATATACAGGAGGTGGCTAAAATTAATTCTGAGAAATCTCCACCACCAGAAACAGAAACAATAGATGAACATAATGAAGCTCCAAGTCCTCTGCTGCAACTTACTAAAAAACAACTTGATGACTACAGAAAAAAAGCCAATGAATTAAGGGTATGTTTCTGTATAACATGCACAGCATCATCTAAATTAGGGCATATCCTGACACATATCAATTGTGCTGAAACTACATCTCGCAGTATTTCTTTAGCAATGCTGGTTTGCAGTTCTGGGAGCAACAGCTCACAGTACTGAAAGTGTGTCAGAGATTTGTTGAGGGTATTGTAGTAACAGTTATAATTAAAGATATAAATTTCTTCCCAAAGTTATTCAGATGGATTTAGATCTGGAAAGGATGCAATGCAAGGAAAGATGATTTGTCCTAAAACAAATTGGTAATAACCATGCTACCTGATATTTGCCTAGGATTTCAAGAGAGACACAGTGGAAACCAAAGTAGTACAGTAGATATATAGAAAGTCTCTAAATTGAACTGTGATCTTCATTTTTGGGCCAAACCTCATGGGGGTCTAACCCTAACCCTAGATGACTTTTTCAATTGAAATGGGGCTTTCCTCATGAAATTTGGCTAGGATTTCTAGGGAGGTGAAATGGAAAGCAAACATGTCTACTAGGCATAAGGAACCTCTAAACGGAACCATGATGTTTAGTTTGGGGCCAGACCTCATTTCAAATGGGGTTTTCACATGCAATTTACCTAGGATTTCTAAAGAGACTTGAATGGAAAAAGGTCCATCAGGCATAGTCTCTAAATTGAACAGTGATGTTTGTTTCGAGGGCAGATCATCTGGGGAGGGCTAACCCTAGCCCTAACCCTAGATGAACTTTCCATTTCCAATGGGATTTCCCTATGCCATTCACCTACGATTTCTAGAGAGACAGAATGCAAAGCAAACATGTCCATTATTCATAAAGAACCTCTCTAAATTGAACCATGATGTTCTTTTTTGGGAAAGCAGTTTGGCTTTAAACCCTGAGAGCACTGATATTTCATATAAAAACCAATTAATATCATATTTGGAAACATTAAAAGGAAGATCTTTAAGATAATCTTTAAGATAATCCTTTAACAATCTGGGGAACATGTGAAAATGAAGCATGACTGCCATTGTTATTCAAAATTTACCAGTCTTTAGAAGTCAGACTTATGTCTATGGCTTCCACAGAGGCACAGAGGACTTCCTTGGTTGGGTATAGATGGAAAAGAGAAACTCTATGAAAAGCATTGCTTACCACAGATATTAGTTGTTCTTGAAATGAGAAATAGATGAGGAAATGTGGGCTGAGTATTTGTAACTAAGGAACTCCATCATGCAACCTTGTCTTGAATTATTGTGGGAAAAAGAATCAAAGCTATCAATATAGAGGAAAGCTAAGCATTCAAAATACCCAGATGTTTGAAGTCAGCAACATTTGTTTGAGGAAAGAACAAACTCATGCATCTTCCACAAAGGAATAAGTACCTATGTGTTTCATTCTCGTCTCTGAGAGTAAATGCAGCAATACTGAACGTTGTTCTTTTTTTAACTGTATAGAAGAGACAGACCTGGACTCATGAATACATATTTCAGTCAACTGAGGTTTTGCTGCAGTGCATTAATGTTGCAATTAATAACAACCTGGTCGATACCTTGGCAGCTGCTAGTTTGGAAATGGTGGAGTGCTTTGGACAATTTGATCCCGTTTCAGCAAGTCAGTTTTTAGCTCTTTATCAGGTAAGACAAGAATTGTAAATCAAATAATAATAATCGTGTCTGCTACCAATTAAACTAGATTAGTAATTATAGTTGTGTGCTAAACACAAGAAAAGTTTTGTTCCAACCTCAGAATAAAACAGTTCACCTTAGAATCTTCCATCAGCACGTTCTGAAAATACTGTATTCTAGTGGGAAAGAACTTGAAATGACCCAAGAATTACATTATAGGGAACAAAGGGAAGTTGAAACAAGCTCCTTGCTTTCTCATTTTTTATCATCTGGTCATAAAAATAAATTGGATGGCTGTAGATGAGATCCCCTCCCTGGGATAGTGTTAAAAATTGTTTGCAAGATTAAGGGGTTAGGGTGAAAAAAAAAAAAGCACAAATGTGTGATATATTGCAATCCTTTTCTGTGGTAAAGAATTTAAAAACATCTGAACAGCCTATCTGTCTTTTTTTCACTGACTGCACTCTGCTCTTCTTTATTAACTCCAGTCAGTGACAGCATGAAAGAAACTGAGACTTTCTGGGCTTTTGGCTAATGCATAATTCAGTTGTCCATGATTTGGATTCAAATTGAAACACTTTTATTCCAAACTTGGTAGAAGACTCTAGAATGTCCATTCTGGAATCAGAATGTTTTTCAAACTCCTTACAGTAATCAGTGATATTAATATTAAAATACGAAGGATCTATGAATGCAGACCATTATATTATGGGATGAAATTATAATTCTTGCTTGCTTCAACTATAATTACGTTATATATTTATTATTTTGAATGTGATGTACATGTACTGTAATTGAGAACTCTTGATCAATGAAAATCATCTTTCTTGGTTAGCATCTAGAGATCTATAGATTTAAGGCACATTGGAAGGAAGTTTTATATTCACCTTCCGAAGAGTTAAGTTGCTTTCATTGCAAAGCAAATAATTTAAAATGTTGTTCTGGGAAAAATACCAATGTTTTTCATCTGAAATTCTCTTGAAACAGAGTAAAGAAAGATCTTTAATAATCAGTACTTAAATAAAAGTTACATAATTCTTTTTTTAAGGTAAGAAAATGGGTAAGAATTATGGAAAGGCTGTTCCCTGGAAGCAAGTAAATGGTTGGAAATGTCCTTTATATTTAATGTGAATCAGGTTGAAAATATTTTTACAATATTTTAATGTATCTATAAATAGCTTGTTGGGTTTTGACTAGAAATCTGTTTTTAAAAACATTTGCTTACCTGATATTAAATCTAATATTACAATCTTTCAGAGCTGTACAGCGTCCTTGATTATGAAAGAAATCCTGTTAGCGGCTACCTTGAACAGCAGCAGTTCACAAATGGCAGCAATGTTGCATCTGCAGCACCACTTGCAACAAAGAGGAGAAACCACTGGTCTCCTCAAAACTATAGAACACAGGTTGGCTGCTATATCAAAGGTAATTCGGTCAGTTAAATAAAATGGTGATTCCTGCTCAGTTCCAGAGAGAGCTTTCATCGAAACACCTGTCAGGATGCATAGATGGTACTTTGTTCTCTTTTCCTACAACATTATTCTGAAAAAGTTCCTTCTAAAAAGGGCAGTAATATTGCAATTATTTTACATAAGTAGTTGACTGTCTAATTCTATTTCTGTGCAGATGTTTTACTGCATAATTGCACAAGCAATAAATGGACGAACATAATAATTGCATTTTCAAATATTTGAAAGGTTCGTCCGTTTATACATTTTCTTAGCACACAGATAGTTTGTTGTAATTTTGTAATGAAGTATCCTTATACATTAATCATTAACATATAACTTATAAATCCTTTTCTATAGGTTTAAGCTATTATGATTATAGGTAGTCCTCAACTTATGACCACAACTTAGCCAAAACTTTCTGTTGTTCAGTTGGACATTTAAGTGAGTTTTGCCCCATTTTACAATTTTGCTTGCCACAGTTGTTAAGTGAATCACTGCAGTTAATAAGTTAGTAACACAGTTACTAAGTGAATCTGGCGTCCCCATTGATTTTGCTTGTCAAAAGGTTGCAAAAGGTGATCACATGACCCTGGGACACTGCAACCATCTTAAATATGAGTCACTTACGAAGCATCTGATCATGGGGCTGCTACAAAGGTCATTAAGTGTGAAAAATGGTCAGAAGTCACTTTTTTCAGTGCCGTTATAACTTTAAATGATCACTAAATGAACTGTTATAAGTCGAGAACTATCTGTATATGTATATGTTAACTATCTGTACATGTAAATATTTACAAATAATAATAATTATATCCACTCAAAATCTCCATAAGAATGCTGTTATAACACTCTATAATATTTAGGAATGGTATTCTTAACTTCTTTGAAAAATAATAATAATTATTATTTTTGTAGGCATGGGGAAGCCTCTCTATTTCTTCACACCATTTTAATATCATGAATGAACTGCCAGCAAATTTTCATATAGTTATTCTCCAGCATTCAGGAGACAGGTATGAATATAACAATGCTCATGAGTGACTGATGCAAGCATAATGTTTAAACATGATTACCTCTGAATATCATTACTTTTTCAACATAGTCTCTCCAGTTCATGTATTTACCTATATGAAAAATTCTGTTAGGAAGCTTCTAGTATTTAGAGCTTTTTGTTAGGAATCCCTTCCCATAATGTGCCATACATGCCCTAGGTGTGACTCTTGCCATCCTCCCATTTCAACTGATACAGCTGTAATATATTGGATGGACTTGTGAAACTCATTCATAAACACGTAGTGTGATGATTAACTACCAAACTCTGTATAGGCTTGAAGGCCCGTTTTGCAATTACCAATACTATGGGAATAAACTCCTCCCTATATGAAGGAAACAGTTTGTGGATTGTCAAGTTTTTGCTTTATTTATGGAATCAGAATAATATAATTATACGAGAAATGGGGGCATATAAGCTGAATAAATAAAAAATAAATAATTTAAGGGGAAGTAGGGCCTTGGAGATCATCCAAAGCCTACTCAATGCTATGCTCACATTACATCTCTGCTAAACAAGCAGTATGGTTTCAATATGTTTAAGAATGCTGGATGTGACCTATAGAGCCCTTCATGGCAACTGATTATGATCTGGTCAGCTTTGATCAGTAGCTGCAAGCTGGCCAGAGAATTTTTAATCAACTAATTAAGGTTACAGAGGCAAGCTTGTTAATTTGAGGGTAGCATTTTTTAGGGACATGCTACACTGCTGCAAAGAAAAGCAGTTCAGGAAGAGATACTTGGTTTAAGTCATCTCTTCATCCTGTGTGGGGACAAAAATTGGAGAAAAAAACAGGTCAGGCACAAGACACTGTATGGGAAAACTTTATCTAAACGAGATGGCAGCACTCAGCAGTCTTTGTAGGGTGTTTCTTTCTCTCTCAGTCATGTGATTTACTTAGCAACCGTGTCACCCACAACCATCCATTTCACCATGTTGCAACCACCAAACAAGAACTACTTGTGTTCAGGAAAATAAAGTTATGGGTTTTTTTTCCCCTTTGGATAGATCTTTATTGTATGGTGCTGTACTTGAGAAAGTAAAATCAACCAACCCTAAAGAGCAAAAGGAACAAAAGGAAAAGGGTGGACAGCCAAAGGAAAAAGGTGGGAAGGAAAAGGGTGGACAACAGAAAGGAAAATTTGCTCAACCAACTTGTAAGTATCTCTAAATAATGCAAACACAATTGCATTTTTCTCTGCACAACTGCACTGGATAGTCACACATGAGCATTTGGGTGATAAAAGTTCAGTTTCTTAGCAACCAAAATATGTCCCTGAGTTTAACCTCTTTAATTGACAATAGTCTGTCTCAGCATGATTTTTTTTTCAGTAATGTCATCACATTGGTACAGAGCCCATCAAATTTGTTTGTATAACCACATAATAAAGTTAATTCAAACTTTGAACAGTAATTTTGCTTGGGCAAATTATTTTCTCCTCTTTTCTCTTTTGCCTTTCCTATTCATTTCTGAATCAGGAAAATACTTTTCATGCCAACCCAAAGTAGCCCTTGATTTATTCCCAGGTTCATTTTAATCATAGAACTTATAGATTAAAGTCTGAGTTTAATGGATTATTTTGGAGGAGAAGGCATCCATTAAATGTGTGTTTTGGATAAATCCAACTTGCATTTTGTGCATGTGCAAAATTGAGAAAGTGGAAGAAGCTTCAGGATGAGGAAGCCTGCAAAGTGGGCTTAGGCAGGGGTGACTTCAGAGTTGTTGAAAGGTAAAATACTTACCTTTTGTTGGAGGGATGAGGAGCTCTGTTAAACTGAGATTTTACTGAATTTTAAATAATTTCAATTCCTTGTATCTCTATTATTTTACATTTAGAACTGAGAGGGTGATACTTCAGTGCTCATATATCCTTCATGAATGGCTATCTAGAAATATAGCTGTTTTATAATAATAACTAAACACACTTTTATTATTCATCTCTAGTACTCATTCATTTCTCTGTTTATATGCTACATAAATGGGGGTATGAAAAAGAAAAATCAGTGTTTTTTTAAACAGGTTTGAATGCATTTTGTTGGTTTGAATTTTTATTAACTACAGTGCAGGCTAAAATTGTCCGGAGCCCTGTGAATCCAGAAACATTCTTAAATATTTTGGAAAAAGTTGAGGTTTTTAAAGAGGAGATGATGGATGGTCTTTTGAGAGAAATAGAAGAAAATGAGTTTCAAAGAAAACAAGTATCATCTGCCAAACTAGACACTGTAAGAAATTTTTTTAAAATGAAATACACATATAATTCAGTAATTTAGATGGTGGATCCATGTTGGCTTTTTTTACAAATAATATAACATGTTTGTAAAATAATCATTTATTTTAATTTTATTGATGAGATAATATATAACAGTTGCTTATATAGGATACATTTTTGTCCCCAATAAGGATGTGAACAAAGTGGGGTCATTGTAAATTAGCAGCGTTCTGATGGAATAAGACCCAAAGTTGGAAAACTTGTGCTTGAATGTTCTGGTCACAAAAACAATAGAAATTCAGAAAAAGCACCTTCTTCCCTTGTTTTTCACCTAGAGCCACAAGATTAGGTTGGGTAGAAATCTGTTATGATTGCTACCTATCTGCCAACCTATAGAAGAAGCTACTTAATTTCTGATTTTTAATTTTTTTTTTGAAATTTTTATTTTAAAAGATCCATAAGGAATAACTGGGGAACATCACCAATAGAAAGGAAAAAAACCTTAGAATCTGTTATCAGAAAAATCTAGCCAACACCAATTTGCTTAAGAGAGATCTTTTTCACTCTTTGAAGGAACTTTAATGCACTTGGCCAACATGTTAACTGGACATTTTAGGCATAAATATCAGTCTACAAATGCAATTCTACATTTAAAATATTCCCTGTTGACATTTTTTTCTTTTTAAATTGAATGGTAGAATTCTTTTGGTTGAATCATCAGTATAGACTATTCAATTGGAGCAATGGCTATGGTAAAGCAGGTTCTTGTGTCAGGATCTGTTACTTAATCAGCAGCATGCTCACTTACTTACTGCCAGTAAGGTTTTGTGGCCAATCTCCTGCTAATTGGTGGTTTGTAGAGGATGCAAGTAGCATAGCATGTTTCTTCAAGCTCAGATTTTCAAAGCTCCCATACTATGCTTATTTCAGACACTTGGATGATGCAAGGCTACCTGGTGATTCCTCTGGGTTACTAACACCAGCAGTTGTGGATCCAGTTTGTCCTTCTCCAGCTTTCATCCTTAGCCCCTTGAGCTGGTAAAAGGGACTGGCCTGACTATAAAGATTCAATACCATCACATCTTGCTGTGGAAATAGCTCAGTCTTCTAGAATCCAGGCCTGCCTCCTCCATTGTATTGCCATAAGATATCATCACTGTTGCGACACAGGAGAAACAGGCATTTTAGAAATATCATGCTTCCATATGGTTGCCACTCTTCCTCTCCTTGATCAACAACCATTTTTTCAGAATGCCCTTCCAGCTCCTCCACTAATTTTCATACAGAGGACTATGAAGATGTTTTTGTGGGTGATAGGCCAGATGTATCTATTAATCAGACATATATCGCTTCTAGCAACACTACTTCTAGTCCCAGTTGATCAATTTATGGCAGCATCCATGTTTTCCCTATCCAGTAGCAGAATCAGATCTAGATTAGATTAGATTAGATAACATTTATTGTCATTTTTTACTGTGGGCACACTGGCACACATTAAAAATTATATATATATATATGTGTGTGTGTGTGTGTGTGTGTGTGTTTCAAAATTTGGATTGCTAACAAAGAATTAAGGGAGTACTGGGATAGCTATTTCTAACCTTATTAGGTTTTCATCAGCCAGACATACCCTTGCTGAGATTCGAACCTGGGCTGTCTGCATGTTAAGCAGAAGTGTTGCCCCTAGGCCACAGGCTCTTTCTCACTTTGTTAGCTACAAGAGACAGGGGAAGAGGATGAA